CGCGCGTGTACCCCCTCTCTTTTTTCCCTCTGTGTAGATTGCTTCAAAGCAAATACTCGCCGGCCGCCCCCCTCGAGCCCCCGCAACGTATTGCCTCGCGAGGAAATTACGGGAACCGAAGGTAAATCTAACGAATTTCCATTGTACCGAAGGATCTTGATTTTTCGATATGGTCTCTTCTTCGTTAGGTTTCGTGCGTTTTGTTTTATTTTAGTATAATATACTAACTTTGTTCGTAGCGATAGGACGCGTGATATTATAGCGCTTGACGATATGAGGCAGGACGATATGGCGCGGGGAAATTTAATAGGGGGCGATGCAACGCGTAGGAATATAGCGCAGGGTAATATGGCGCGTGGAAATTTAATAGGTGGTGATTCAACGCGTAGGAATACGGCACGTGGTAATAGGGCGCGTGATAATACAGCGCGGGACAATATAGCGCGTGAGGATACAGCGCGTGACGGTATAATGTGTGGAATTCTAACGCGGGGAAATACGACACGAAGGAATTCGAGGCATAAGATCTCAACGCGTAGAAATACTGCTTCGTAGAGATACGACGCGTGACGATACGGCGCGTGACAATACGACGCATGATAATACGACGCGTGACGATACGACGCGTGACGATACGGCGCGTGACAGTACAACGCGTGACATTACGACGCGTGACGATACGACGCGTAGTGATTTAACGCGTAGGAGTACAGCACGTGACAATATGACGCGTGGCAATACAGTGCGGGGCGATACAGCGCGTGACGGTACAACGTGTGGAATTCTAACGCGTGGAAATACGACGCGAAGGAATTCAAGGCTTAAGATCTCAACGCGTAGAAATATTGCTTCGTAGAGATACGACGCGTGACGATACGGCGCGTGACAATACGACGCGTGACGATAGGGCGCGTGACAATACGGCGCGTGAAAGTACAACGCGTGACAGTACGACGCGTGACGATACGACGCGTAGTGATTCAACGCGTAGGAATACAGCACGTGACAATATGGCGCGTGACAATACAGCGCGTGACGATACAGCGCGTGACGGTATAACGTGTGGAATTCTAAAGCGTGGAAATACAACGCGAAGGAATTCAAGGCGGAAAAACTCAACACGTAGAAATACAACGCGTGACGATACAACGCATGACAATACGAAGCGTGACAGTACGCCGCGTGACGATACAGCGCGTGACGTTACATGACACATAACGATACATATACTTTAACACAAGGTAATGCAACAAAATAATTAAAAACGTAAAGCCTCAACATAGAAATACGATTACAGTATTCGGTGCGTGACGATACAGCGCGTGGCAATAAGGCGCGTGACGATAGCAATAACTTAACGTATGGTAATGTAACATCCGGCGATAAGAACCGATACACACACAACGTGCGTATCCATCACAGTAATGGATACGTTTATGAAATTATATTCCACTTGACGTTTTTTTTATTCCCCTATTAAAATGTACGTAAATAATAAGTTTCTACGCTGAAGTTATTTTATTAGTGACATGAGGCGCAAGATGGTGTGTTATTAAGATGAAGGAGATTACTAACGACGCACAATGTCGTACACCGAGATCATAATCGGAATTAAGATTAGACTACTCGGAGCAGTATTATCCGTTATACGATTATGACCCTTTAAGCTGTTTATTAGCCAAGTTAGCACTGGCTTGAAAATATTTACGTGCCTTTAGCTTATCTGCACAGTTCTTTTACGGCCCATTCGCATGCAAATTAGGCTCACGATAGTAGGACGCTAGGCAAGAGCTAAATTTTCCTTTGAATTTAATATCTTCCAATGAACCGATACACTGATAATTAAGTGTAATTCTTTGTATCGAGAATCGTAAATTAAAAACTCCGAAGAGAACTTCTGAAAATGTTCTCCTAAAAATTATGAATCGTAACCTTCCGTATTGTAAGAAATATGACCGTACAAAATTTCCCTAGACACCGTCATTCGCAATAAAAGCCTCGCCTCACACAGTAAAACTAAACTTACATTTTATAAAACCAATTCCCTACATGTCTAACGACTCCGAAAAAGGAAAGACTACCATAACCATCAATTTACTGTCCTGAATTTCCCGGTAAACGTCGAACAACAGCCCGAAATTAAAATTCCTAAGCATACCTCGGACCGTCCAGCATCCGATTTCTCCCCGTTCGATTTCGATTAGTTGGCCAGTAAAAGGGGATCAGTGGTGGGTGATTAATCGCCACGGAAACCGGAACAATAAGAACAATATGTTCGGAGTCGGCTGGAAGGGGATGGAAGAGGGAAGAAAAGGCAATTTGTCCGGTCGTGTGCAACTCAGCAGAGGACAGACCCATAAGCTCTGCGGTTATGGGGCATGGATGGCTGTGCATTACTGGAAACTTTTCACGTCACAGTTTTTCAAGTATATTGACAATTTTGGGAATTTTGGGAGAGTTGGAACGGTGAGTGTGTGGTTCATGATGTGGGAGTCGGATGCCTCGGATACTTGGATGACAAAGATAGTTTAAACACCTCAGACTGTAGAGGCAGGTTAGACTATAAAGACACCTCAGACACCTCAGACTACAGAGACACCTCAAATACCTCAAACTAGAAGGTCACCTCAGACTACAGAGGCACCATAGACACCTCAGACACCTCAGACTACAGAGACACCTCAGACTACAGAGACACCTGAGACACCTCAGACTACAGAGGCAACTCAAACTACAGAGACACCTCAGACACTTCAGATACTTAGAGACCTCAGACACCTCAAATACGTCAGATATCTCAAACTACAGAGACACCTCAGACTACAGAGACACCTCAGACTGCAGAGTCACCTCAGACACCTCAGACTACAGAGTCACCTCAGACACCTCAGAATACAGAGACACCTCAGACTACAGAGGCAACTCAAACTACAGAGACACCTCAGACACTTCAGGTACTTAGAGACCTCAGACACCTCAAATACCTCAGATATCTCAAACTACAGAGACACCTCAGACTACAGAGGCAGCTCAAACTACAGAGACACCTTAGACAGCTCAGACACTTCAAATACCTCAGATACCTCAGATACTCAGACACCTCAAATACACATATACGCAGACACCTCAGACAACAAAGACAACTTCTAGCAAGAAGTCACATACCCAGGTGCAAGATTTAATATGAAAATATGTGTTGAATGTGGATTTCAGATGAGTAAAATTAAATAAGTGTTGAGAGTTCCTGGGTCAAAACTTAAATCAAAGTGTCTCCAGAGGCAGTGTGTTCCAGACTGTGTGTACACCTAACAAGTTGCAGACCCAGAGCCAGACTGATTTTCCTTGATAAGTGCCATATTTATTATGCATTTAGAAAGCATTTCCACCTTTCAGTTCAATCTTTGAATCCGTAAATCCTTGAATTTTTGAATTCTTGAATCCTTGAATTCTCGAATCCTTAAATTCTCGAATCCTTGAATTTTCGAATCCTTGAATTCTCGAATCCTTGAATTCTCTAATCCGTGAATTCTCGAATCCTTGAATTCTCTAATCCTTGAATTCTCGAATCCTTGAATTCTCGAATCCATGAATTCTCGAATCCTTGAATTCTAGAATCTTTGAATTCTCGAATCCTTGAATTCTCGAATCCATGAATTCTCGAATCCTTGAATTCTAGAATCTTTGAATTCTCGAATCCTTGAATTCTCGAATCCATGAATTCTCGAATCCTTGAATTCTAGAATCTTTGAATTCTCGAATCCTTGAATTCTCGAATCCATGAATTCTCGAATCCGTGAATTCTCGAATCCTTGAATTCTCGAATCCTTGAATTCTCGAATCCTTGAATTCTCGAATCCATGAATTCTCGAATCCTTGAATTCTAGAATCTTTGAATTCTCGAATCCTTGAATTCTCGAATCCATGAATTCTCGAATCCTTGAATTCTCGAATCCTTGAATTCTCGAATCCTTGAATTCTCGAAACCTTGAATTATTCTCGAATGCCTGAATTCTCGAATCCTTGAATTCTCGAATCCTTGCATCCTTAAATCCTTGAATTCTTGAATCCTTGAAGTGAAGTCGTCTTTCAATCTTATTTACCTAATCACCCCATACTCCAAGTCACCCAAAAATTTGAAGCGACAAGTCCAAATAAAATCTGCCAGCGTGACTTCCAGTTTTCGAATTTGTCTGAGATACTGAGGCAAATGTCGTAAATGGGTCTACCACCCCATAACATTTCCAGGATGACCGTAATTTAGCACCCCCGTTTCACGGGCGGTTTCCGTTCCGCCAATCGAGGATTTTGCACCCTCCTTAATAGAAAGAAAGCGAACATGATTCGTCTGTTTCTCCAGCTTTCACGGCTCGTTGCTTGAAACTAAAGGGTCTTGCGACCTAACCTTCACGCCGGCGCTCAGTCGATCCTGGAAATGATTTATGAGGCGATAACAGCACGGCCGGAAATCGTGGCGTCGATTTTATTGTCGAGTTCAACCCTTTGAGCATCGCTGTCGCTGTATCGAACATTTATTAACGGGACGCTCGTGAATGTCTTGCTCGATTTTTAGGGCCGTGAAAGGTACCCCGGAGATTTATGACCCGGGAAAAAGTGAATTCGGGGTTACCCAAGAATTTCTCTACTCGGACGAATTGATTTCTAAAGGAAGTTCCAACTTCTTTCGGGTGATTGATCGACTGTTTCTTTCTCTCTATATTTTGACTAATTGATACAACGACATTTTCTCTAATATTTTGACTAATTGATGCAATGAAATTTTCGCTAATATTTTGATAAATGTATTTCGTTATTTTGCAAATGTCCGATCTATTTTGGGATAATCGAATTCAGGCCTGTGAAGGGTTGCTAATTTATTCGGAAACGTTCTAGGTATTCATCGACCTGTCACATGGTCGATGGCCGCAATAACGAGATGATTGCCGACGATATAATTTATTCCGACGATCGGTGAAAGAGAAACAGCAAGAATAACCACTTACCGGCATGCGATGCGCCGAGGATGCACGAATGCGGCAGCAGAAAACAAGTCAGCACTAATGGCCACTTCATCTTCGGATCTGTAACAGATAAAGCAGCCGCGATCATTTATATTGGATTAATTGTACGGGGAAAAGTACTATTTACTTCGTTCAACAGCAACAATTAAATTCTGAATCTGTAATTGCCTGAAGATACTCGAACATCTTCACTGAAATCAGATAATTCAACCTTGGTTATTTAACAAAATATACGGTCAACCACTTTGAAGCCTACAGTAAAAGTAAAACGTGTGGCCATTGGACTAAAAGTTAGGTTAAATTGAATTTGGATTAGGTTTGGATTAGGTCCGACAGCAACAATTAAATTCTAGATCTGTAATTGCCTGAAAATACTTAAAGATGCTTACAAAAATTAAATAATTCAACCTTGTGTCAACAGTGCGTCGCGAGTGCGTCACAAGAGTATCAACAGTGCGTCATGAATGCGTCAAGAGTGCATCATGAATTCTTGATTATTAAACAAAATACACTGTCAATCACTTTAATTTGCATTAAGTTTGGGTTAGGTCCAACAGCGACAATAAAATTCTGGATCTGTAATTGCCTGAAGATATTTGACAATCCTCACAGAAATGAAATAATTCAATCTTGTATACAGTGCGTCATGAGTGCGTTACAAGAACATCAAGAGTGCGTCATGAATGCGTCAAGAGTGCGTCATGAATACTTGGTTATTAAACAAAATACATTCTCATCCACTTTGAAGCTCATGTTTAAAGTAGAACATGTGGCCATTGGATTATGTTAGGTTATGTGAATTTGCATTAAGTTTGGGTTAGGTTCAATAGCAACAATTAAATTCTGGATATGTAATTGCCTGAAGATATTTGACAATCCTCACAGAAATGAAATAATTCAATCTTGTATACAGTGTGTCATGAGTGCGTCACAAGAGTATCAACAGTGCGTCAAGAATGCATCAACAGTGCGTCACGAGTGCGTCCAGAATGCATCAACAGTGCGTCATGTGTGCGTCACAAGAGCATCAACAGTGTATCAAGATTTCGTCATTAATGCGACATGAATGCGTCAAGAGTGCGTCACGTGTGAGTCTCGACTGTGTCATAGATGCGTCACGAGTGCGTCACGAATGTATCAAGAGTGCACCAACAGTGCGTCGCCGGTGTATCAACAGTGCGTCATGAGTGCATCAGCAGTGCGTCAAGATTGTGTCAAGAATGCGTCAAGAGTGCGTCAAGAGTGCATCAACAGTGCATCACAAGTGTATCCACAGTGCATCATGAATGCGTCACGACTGCATCAACAGTGCGTCAAGATTGCATCAAGATTGCGTCACGTGTGAGTCACAAGTGTATCATAGATGCGTCACAACTGCGTCAACAATGCGTCACAAGTGGATCAAGAGTGCAACAAGAGTGCATCAACAAAACGTGATACATGAGGATCCTCCCATAAACGAAATAATTAAATCTTGGTTATTTAACAAAATACACGGTAAACCGCTTTTAGGCGCACGGTAAAAGTACGTAAAACATGTGGACTAGGTTAAATTAAATTTGGATTAGGTTCAGGTTAAATTAACTATTCATGAAAGGATAACTATTCATGAAAGGATTCCTCATGCGCTGGCCCATTACGTTTTTCACGTGTGTAACAGGTCCGCCTAAAACATAACCTCTATGACAAGGCATTCTACGAGCTTATAATGAGGAAAATTGAAAGATAAAAGTTTGCCTACACTCGAGCGTTCGACATCCCGTAAAATAATTTCCAAAGTGAATCCCCTGGCCATTCACAGATCCAGGTAGAAATTCGCGGCATCAATCGTCGAATTTCCATGGTGACGAGAGCGATCCTGGATACTCGACCCATCCATCAGTATCCAGTTCGCTGGAACAATTTTGCACACAAGGACCCTCCCTAATTGCGTACCCCATCGACGAGGGGAGTGTTGTTTTTCGATGTTTCGTGAGCCGGATAACTATAGGGGGACGAAAGTTGATATTAGCTGGACGTTTGCTCAGGCACTCTACTTTTCTGCCATTTGCCGTCGATTAGTCGGCCTCCCTCTTCTAGGAAATTAGCGTCTGATGACATTAGTGTTCGAGACGTGTTTTCTAGGAAAATTAAAATTCTGACCCTTTGCACTATGTGGACATTTCTCTTGGATCTCATAAATTATATAAGTTATTATACTAGCTATAATAAATGAATCTGTCATATACCGCTGCCATTTTATTAAGACCCGCCATCTTGATCTACTTTGAGAGAGCTAATAAAAAAAATTAAAGAGTGCAAATAATAATACGGCAAACAACGACAAAACAAATTAATTCAGAAACAATATATAGCACTATTCTTCCCGTACCAATTCTTCATGGATCAATGTTCGAGCGAGTCATAAATTTGCTTCTTTGAGAATCGCGTCACGATCCTACAGTTTCGTCGCGTCGATCTTCCCTTTCCTTTTTCCCCGACGGAAGAGAGAAAAAAAGAGGAGCACCAAGCTAATATCCGACAGAAAGCTTTTATTTTTCTTTATTAGCCAGGTGCCGTAACAATGCGAAGGCGCGGGCCAGTGTCAATGGTCTGGCTTCTAGCAAGCTCTATTGCCGGTCTGCGGCTTTTTTCGAGCGCATCCCGGTTGTTTTTCGCGTGTTGCACAGCCACGAGGAAATATCTTTGCTCGACGGGGCGTTGCACGTGCAAGGGCATTCGGTATATTTGATTAAAGTCTCCGCGAGATGGGTTTTCATGTTATATCAGGTTACTCTCGTATTAGTGCACGGTGTGGCGAACTTTGAAGACGGAAATTATAGTTCGATTCACGTTCTTTGTATACACGAGTCAAGCTTCTTTTCATTAGCAACTTAACCTACAATTTTCGAGGGTGTCATTCATAGTTAGCTACAACTAAAGAAAGTTAAAATGTTAAAATTTTGTATTATCAAGATTTTATCTATTTTTGCAGAATCAAGAACTCAAAGAGTGACAAGATATGTCTGATTCATATTTCGAATACAGTGTGCGTCAAGAGTGCGTCACAGGTGCGTCATGTGTACATTACGAATGCATCGTAGGTGCGTCACGAGTGAGTCGCAAGTGCGTCGTAAGTGCGTCACGATTGAATAGCAGGTGCGTCAAATGTGCGTCACGAGTGCATCCACAGTGCGTCATGAGTGCGTCAAGAGGATACCGCGACTGAATTAAGAATGTATCGTAGGTGCGTCACGAGTGCGTCACGAGTACATCCATAGTGCGTCATGAGTGCGTCAAGAGGGTGTCGCGACTGAATTAAGGGTGCGTCATAGATGCGTCACGATTGAATATCAGGTGCGTCACGAGTACATCCATAGTGCGTCATGAGTGCGTCAAGAGGGTGTCGCGACTGAATTTAGGGTGCGTCATAGGTGCGTCACGAATGAATAGCAGGTGCATCAAGAATGCGTCACAAGTACATGAACAGTGCGTCAAGAGTGTGTCACGAGTGTATCAACGAGTGCGTCAGAAGTGCGTCACGGTATTATATTTAAGGGGTTACGGTTGCCATAAGTGATAATCCTGCGAAGAATGTGAAAATATGTGGATAAGGAGACGGACTGGGACACCTAAGGAAAACTTAGGGAGAATTAAAAGACCACATCAAAAACTTGATGTGAAGTATGGAAGATTCAGAGAGAATCTCAGAAAAATTTAGAACGACCATGACCCTTAGAAAAACTAAGAAAACTAGAAGGAGTAAATCTGAACTATACACATCCATCTTATGGTCATATCCTATAACGCAAAATGTATTTTACGTAAGTAAAAGTACTTTTAAAAAATGAGATCTCCATTCCAACATAAAACATTAACTCGACACTTGTCTGACACGTGTGCCCGAAGGCAGCAGGTTATTTTCCGTTGTATTTTTTTTTAATATCATTCCGTCTCCCCGCATAACTCTTTCCGACGCACAGTCACAGACGCGTGTTCCCGGTTTCTGGAAGCAGACAACGATGAACCGCGAGGGGAATCCGCAGATGCGGCCCGTCCCATCCGCTCGGCTGGCTCGCAGACTCGCTCGAGCTTGCGAAAAGCCAGACCATTGACACCGGCGCTCGCCCCACCATTGTTACCGGGCTAATAAAGAAAAATAAAAGCTTCCCTTCCCGCAGGATATTAGCTCTTTCCTACCCAGCCACGGTCGTCGGGGTCCAGTCCCTTCTTACTGACCGAGCACCGGTTGAGAAACGCGACCGACGTCCGGTTTCCGCGTTGCTGCTTCGTTTGTCGAAAATCTGAGCGTTGCTTAATCCGACCAACCACCGATCGCCCCTTTTCATTCTTCTCCCGTGAGCGATGGAAGCAAATTACGGGGCTCCTTCCGCTCCGCTACGTCCCTTTGTGCCGCCTGTGATGTCTCTCTCGTTCTGTTTGGATATTGGTTAGGTGTCTCGCGTGCCGAGGTTACTGCTGATTGTTTTCCCGGGTTGTGTGTTGTTTCTGGGATTAACGCTGTTTCATTTACTCACATATTGTCATTTAAGTCCTAATTCCTTTATTTACAATTTTCTACACTCGCGTCGTCATGTTGAGTTATTCGCAGCTAATTATTTTTACAATGCAAAGATGAAGAAAATTAAGAAATCATGATCCTTGATCATTACTATTAAAATTAAAATTGTAACCAGAATTCAATTGCGATGAAAATATGTTTCTGATAACATATGCTTATAACATATGTGCATGTACATATGTAACACTGTTGATGTACACGAGTGTGTCAACAGTTCGTCAAGATTGCATCATGAATGCATCATGAGTGCGTCATAAATGCGTCATGAATGTTTTATGAATGTGTCAAGAGTGCGTCAAGAATGTGTCACATGTAAGTCATGAGTGTAGCATAGGTGAGTCACGGCTGCATCGACAGTGCGTCACGAGTGCGTCACGGGTATATCAAGTCAGTTAAGAGTGCATCAACAGTGCGTCATGAGTGCGTCACAAGTATACCAAGTCAGTTAAGAGTGCATCAACAATGCGTCATGAGTGCGTCACAAGTGCAACAACAGTGC